TTTACACATGCAAGTTCCTTTCTAACAGGGCCAATAGAGAGGTACTTGACATGCAAGACAATGCAAATGACAAGTTTGCTTGGATGGAGTGGAGCTACCAGGAATACAGGAAAATGCAGTCGCGGTGAGATATGGTGCGATCCATTGTGTCCACGTCCGAGGGAAATTTGTATTTTTTGTTACTGTTCTTGACTGTGACATGTACTGTTCGGTTGATGTGAGGACTTTTTAATTGTGTAATTTTCTATGTGAAACTGTTGCCTATGTTTGCCTTTTCCATTGCCAAAATTTTATCACATGCGTGCTTACAGATTGATTCTTAAAGATTACAAGTATATGTGCTGACAAAAAAACTTTTGACTGTTTTTCATGGTTGGGTCACTCAAGTGGTGCATTACTTGCTGGACTTGTCGCATCAGTCCCAGCTGCACCTCAATTATTCGTTGCCATGGCCGTGGCAAAATTTCTATAAAAGGCAGAAAAATGTAGTAGATCTTTACAACTTCCAAAACCCAGTGTCGGATTGTATATTCTCATTGTGTTCTAATGGCACATACGGAATTCACCTGCGAGTTGCATCCGACCTCTGAAGCGGAGGATGAACAGGGCGACGACGCATTCATGGAAGAATTGCAAGTTGACATTATGGAGTGGTTTCAATACTGTCAAATGAATGAGGTTACTCTCAGAAACTATTACCACGAACAATGCACTCGCGTTTCACGATATCCATTCGCGCGAAATGGTCACATGTTCATGTTGGACGCGATGAACTATAGTCCTCAACAATGCTACGCAGAGTTCCACATGTATCCCGTCATGCTGCGCGCGTTCGTACATATGCTGCGTGACGAGTACGGGCTGCGCAGTCATCAGCACGTAGATATTTATGAACAGGTTGGTATGTTTCTCTGCATACTAGCACATGGGAAGGGATACAGACAGGTGCAGACCTTGTTCAACCATTCATTGGAAACCGTTGGACACTACTTCAAGCTTGTGCTTCTGGCGGTCCTCGAATTCTCTCAACGAGTAATTCGACCAGATCCGAACTACAATAATTATGCCGAGCATCACGTTCCGAATCTTAACAAGCATCCCATATTTAGAGATTGCATTGGTGCGATTGACCGAACCCACGTAAGAGCCGTGCTTCCACGGGAGCAACGCGTGAGTTTTATCGGACGAAAAGGAATTCCGACACAGAATGTGCTAGCGGTATGTGATTTCAATTTATGCTTCACATACGTGCTTGCAGGTACGACGGGGAACTCCCACGATGCTCGCATCTTGGCGCGGGCTATAGATAATCCCGAGCTTGAGTTTCCGCACCCTGCACCTGGCAAATATTACTTGGTTGACTCGGGATTTGCTCACCGACCAGGGTATATGGCGCCCTATAGGGGCTCAGATATATTGTACCATTTTCAGCAATTCTATGACGGCGACACTGGGCGTAGACGTAACTTTCGAAATGCCCGCGGAAAATTTAATTTCAGGCACTCGTCATGCAGAAACGTCATAGAACGTGCATTTGGCGTCTGGAAAAGTCGTTGGAAAATACTGGATCGTATGCCCAGTTATGCGTTCGACGTGCAAACACATGTTGTAATTGCAACCATGGGCATTCATAACTTTCTTCGACGGGCGGGCGTGGTGAACGAAGCATTCGTACAAGCGGAGACAGACCCCGACGCAGCAGAAGTCGAGCTACCAAGCACACGGGACGAAGCTTCAGCGAAAATGAATGCACCGGAGTCACGACGAGATGAGTGGAATATGTTCGGAGATTATCTGGCTCAACAATAAATACGTGTTATGTTTTTTTTTTTTTTGGTTGAAACTAGATGCAAAAAAAATGTTACCGTGTATAAAAAAGTGTTGTTGCACTTCAAATTACCGTGTATAAAAAAATAATGCACTTGTTTGTGG